CTTCATAAAATTCTAATTATTTCATGTAGAAATACTAATTTTGGCTTTCAAGAACATATGTAGTAAGGAGGGGAAAGGGGCAGTTGCTGTCAGTAGGTCCAGAGATCTGCTATACAACAGTATGTATATAGTTAATAACATTGTACTGAAAATTTGAAAAGTTACTAACAGGAGCTAGGCACAGCCGGGCGAGAATGCCAGCACTCTCAAGGCTGAGGCAGGGAGATCATTCAAATTTGAGACCAGCCTGGGCTACAAAGTGAGTTCAAAACCTGCCTGAACTGCATAGTGAAACCCTGTCTCAAAAAGACAAAAAAGGAAACAAAACAAAACAGCTAGGCACAGTAGTGCCCACCTGTCATCCCAGCACACTGGGAAACTGAGGCAAGAGGCTCATGAGTTCCAGCCCCGTCTGAGCTTCTTAGCAGTTTAATGAGATTGTGCCTCAGAATTTAAAAAGGGGGGCAGGGGGAGGAGATGAGTTCAGTGAATACCATGGGTCCCCACCAAAAATACTGCTAATGGGCAGGGAGTGAGGCTCAGGGGCCAAGCACTGGCCGACATGCGCGGGCCCTGGGCTCAGTCCTGGTCCCTGCCCTCGTCAGCAGGCCCTATGCTGTGTACTTTTTCATCACTTACAAAAAATGTGAGTAGTAAAGCAAGTTTACTCTTTAGTTTTACTATATATTTAAAGCATGAGTTAAGTTTAGACTTTAGAGTAAGTTTTAAAATAATATTCTACCAATTCTTTGATTTACTTAACTTAAGTGGATCTGGGGATCGATCCCAGGGCTACACGAATGCTGACCCACCCAGCATTCTGCCGCCCCATAGCCCCTAGTATTTAATTTGAAGTTAAGTCATTTCTCTAAAGATTGTTCTTTATCTAAATCAAGATTTCGGCACTGTTGAGTCTATGGCTTCTTTTCACCAGCTTTGAGTTTTCTTGTTTGTTTTTTAAAAAGTTACTCAAAGTAGTGCAAAGCTGCCAACATGGAGACATTTTCACCCTAGATTTCTCTTGTGCATTCTATCGCTGGACTTCAGATTCGGCGACGGCTGCTTTATCGTCTGTGGAGCTGGTTTGGCTGCTGTAACAGAGAGAAGAATGGTGGCTGATTTGTCTCCTCCGGCAAGCCTGGGCCGACACGCAGTCCTGGGAGGCAGAACCCAGGCTCACACTGTGTTGGTCGCCCCTCGTCCCCTGGCACCTCTCCTTTTTGCATGGTTGCAGGAGCCACAAGGACAGGGAGGGCAGGGCTGGTAATGCAGGGGTCAATGCAAGTTTTCTATAAAGGTTCAGAGTGAGAAAGGAAGGCTTTGCAAGTCACGTGTGCTCTGGTGTGTGTTCTTTTCTGTTTAAAACTTCAAAATTATTCTTATCTTGCAGCCCTTAAGAAATCTAGATTCCAGGCATCACACTTGCTATTATTTTGCCAACAACTCATCTAAGGGCATTACCTATAAATTGCATACTTTCTCACCCATAAAACAGGGTCAATAAAAGCATCCATTTCAGAAGGTCCTCATCAAAATTAAAGTGAGATAATATATTCAAAATAGTGCCTGGCAAAAAGTACTTAGATATGTAACTTCTTGCTAATATCATTTATGTGTAGTTCTACCTATGAAAGAGAATTAGTACATGTTTTGAAGATCCTGATTTCTGACTAGTTTATGACATTTATAATTGTCACAGTTGTTTAGCCAGGCATTGTATTTCCCTGAATTATTTATTTTGATGTGTAGTGCTTATTTCGGCAGCACGTATATTTATTTTGATGTATAAGCTGTTGGCTAGGTTGCATTGTGATTGGGTTTTTGTTTGTTTCAGGCTTTTTTGTTTTTGTTGTTCTGTTGTTTTGAGACAGGGGCTCACTATGCAGTTCAGGCTAGCCTTGAATTCATTGTGTAGTCCAGGTTGGCCTCAAACTCATGGGAATCCTTCTGCTTTAGCCTCCCAAATGCTGCGATTACAGGCATGCACCACCATACCCAACAGCTTTTATTTTTTTTTAAACAAGCTTTGTGGTATATTTTCTTACAGTCTGTTTACAATGACCCCTTTTGTGTACTTTTAGCTATTTTTTGTTTCCTTTCATTGGAATTCAGTTTCCAGTTTTTTTGTGTGTAAGTATTATTATATTACTGAGGTTTTCTTTTCTTTTTTTTTTTTTTGAGACAGAAATCTCACTACTTAGTTCAGGCTGTCCTTGAACTCATTGTGTAACTCAGGCTGGCTTCAAACTGCTGGCAGTCCTCCTGCTTCAGCTATCTGAGTAGGGTATGCATATCACGCCCAGTATGTTTCTTTTTCTTGTATTTATTTTGTGTTTTTGAGACGGGGTCTCATTATGCAGTTCAGGCTTGGCCTTGAGCTTACTTTGTAGCCCAGACTGGTCTCAGACTCCTCCTGCCTCAACTTCCTCAGTGCTGGGATTGCAGGCTCGTGCCACTGTGCCGGCTCCCGGTGTGCTTCTTACTCTGTGGTTCTGGTGCTTTCCCAGTGTGCTTCTCATCATCTCTTGGCTTATTGCTCAGTTCTTTTTGAGGTCTTTTTAAAAAAATTTGACTCTTTTCTGTTTCCGTCCTTCCTTCCTTCCTTGGTAGCAGCGACTGAACTCACGACCTTCTGCTTGCCAGGCAGCACATGCCGTGCGCCTATGCTGCTGAGCTAAGTCCCCAGCCCTTTTAAGTCTTTTTTAAAGGAAGCGTATCTAGAACATCTGTGAGGTTAATGCAAAGCCACCTCTCCTTTTCTGTTTTTGTTTGATTTTGTTTGTGCTGTGTTTTCTCTGCCTGCCTGTGGCGTATTGTCCCTTTTCCCTTTGGGTTTCAAGGAGGGTGTGCTGGCTCTCCGGTGGTCCACCCAGTCTAGAATGGGTTTGTAGTGCGGGAAGAAGGTAGCTGCGGTCCACAGCTTCATTCAGATTTGTTGACTCAGATGTTTGTCATCCTTGCGATGGGAACACCTCTGTGTGTGTGGATGTTGTGGGATCACTGGGACCCCTGCAGAGTGCGGAAGGGGACCCTGAAGCCTGCGAATGCTCCCTGTCAAATGTGTGAAATGTCATAGCGTTTGTGCAGAACCTACACACACCCTCCCGTGTGCTGTAGAGCATCTCGAGGTGGCTTGTGCCGCCTAACAGAAGTAAGCGCTCTGCTCTGGGTGGTGAAGGAGTAACAGGAGAATCGGTCTGAACGGGTGCACTGCAGCTGCCTTTTTTCCTGAATAGTTTGACCTGGAGTTGCTTTGATGTAGAGGGCGACTGTTACTTTATCGGAGGGTTCAGAAGTCTCCCTCTTCCCTGTCCCTTAGCTCAGCTGCCTCAGCCAGCTGGGTGGCGATGGACAACAGAAAGGGCCATCAGATCGAGGTGCTTGTGTGCTCTCCATGCTGTCCCTGCCCCCGGGCCTCTCCTTGCTGGCCTGGGTCCCAGGTCCCAGCTTGGTGGGAAGTTCACAGCCTTTTACCTCTGTGACCCCACCTGTAGGGCTCAGCTCTCCTTAGGCTGGTCCAGGATTGCTGACCTTGCAGCTGAGAGTTCTAACGGAGGCCTACAGTGTGTGGCGGCAGCCACACGAGAGGGGAGTGGCACTTGTCTCCGCAGGACCTGGAAGGGCTCCTCCACCTGCACAGCCTTTGCCGGTCGTGTGTGTTTCCTGTCAGGCAGCGCAGATTCACTTTAAAGGCCTTCACACCCTGCCCCCAGCAACCAGAAAGCCTTCAGTGTAGACCCGAGTGGAAACTCTCTCGCTTTGTGCGTGACGAGATGTTCCACTTGTGATTAGCTGTGGGTTTTGGTGACTTGAGCAGGGGAGGAAGAAGATACCTCCCCGATGGGCTTAAAGCTCCTAGCTTTACACTTTATTTTGAACACTTCAAAAGTACAGTGTTACAACTCAGAATTGACCGTTTTTGTCAGGTTCTTGTGAAGTTCTTTTCATCTTGTAAGAGAAGCTAGTTGAACAGGTACAGCTGAGATTACTCTAGATTCTCTGTTGATACATTTTTAAGATGTAAGTGTGGATACTTTCAATCCTGCAAAGCACAGTCACATACTGCTCCACCATATGACTGTGAGGGCTCCTGGGGCCCCTCGCCCAGCCCTTCATCACGTGCACAAGCGTTTTCCTGGAGAAGGATGCGCTCAGGGTCGAAAGCTCTGTGCCGTTTCATTTTGCTGCGCGCTGACTCCTTAGTCCTGCTTCCGCTAACCCATCATGCACCAAGGTGGGTACATTTGCCCCAGCCGTGGGTGGCTGTCGGTGTGCGCTGTGGGAACCTTGCTGCTGCTGGCACTTTCCCCAGCTGTCTTGAAATGAATGTGGCCTTAAAGAACGATGATTATTTGATGAGTTGGACTTTTCAGCTGTGGGTAGGTGAATATTGGAATACAGAAGGGTGATAAATTATCTAACCAGAAGTCCTACCAAATAGTCTGTGCTGCATGTTTGACAGGAGTTTATATCCCCACAGCGCCCCCTGTCAGCTGGAAATGAAAGTTGAGTCCGGGAAGAGCCCTGCTGGCTCAAACGCCTGTGCCCTGTTTCTCCTTGGAGGAAGTATTTCTGGATCTCTTTTCCCCATCTTTTTTATCTGAAAACTGTTAAAAAGGTTACAAATGAATTCTGAAATGATGAATGCTAATGCAGGAGAGGAAGTGTGAATTCTTAGGTGTGTTCAGCACAGTCCATGAAGCAGCCACTGACTCTGCTTTGGGCCGCGTGAACTTTTCCTGCACACAGTGCATCTCCATGGGTGGAGGAGGTGAGCGCCCCAGCCCTGGGCTCGCACCCCAGCCCTGGGCTCGCACCCCAGCCCTGGGCTCGCACCCCAGCCCTGGGCTCGTGCCAGCCAGCCAAGCGCTCCTGTCCTCAGGGCGCTAACCCGACTGGTTTGTTTTCCGTCCCACTTGGTCAGATGCCTTTTTTGTTTCTTTATTCCTTTAGAAAAAGGCACACTTCCTCATGTTTGTACTTTTCTGCCTTTCTTTCAGAAAAGCAAGAGGAAAGGGCACGAATACACCAACATTAAGTATTCCCTAGCGGACCAGACAGGTGGCGATCAGAGTCCTCTCCCGCCGTGCACACCCACGCCACCCTGTGCGGAGTAAGTAGTGAGGAGGGACCGTCCTCCTGCCCCGAGGACAGTAGCAGCGAGCTTTACGGCCAGGGCTCTCCCTATACCCATGATTGTTGCCTGCGGCGGGCATAGCGGTGACCCGCAGCCTCTCTGGATTCCCGGATGCTGTCTAAGCCATATCTGCTTTCTCCCAGGGTGAAGCCGGGCCCTGTGCTGACTCGGGTGATGGGGATTTTAAGCTTGTCAAGGAGAATCTGAGTTTTCTTTTGCAGAGGCCAGGTTTTTTTGCAGAGGGAGATAACATCCTTTGTGATGCCTTTAGACTCTTTGTTAACTAAGACCAATAAATCAGCTATAAACCCCTCAGCACAGCCGTGGTCTGTAACTTTCCAACAGCCAACAAGCTACAGCCCACCGGCCCAATCTAAAAACAACAAAACAAAACCAAACTTCAGAGTAACACGTGACAGGGACCATGTGTGGCCTAAAATATTCACTATGTTCTTTTCAGAAAAACTTTGTCAGCTGCTTGTTTGAACCAAAACAGTATGGGAAAAACGTGTTATATTGATGATGTGAATAGCAACTTTAAGTTACTATCTTCCTATGTATTCTAAAGGCACCCTCTGTATAACATTTACTTTTTATTTTCCCGTAAGAGTCTTGTCTCTGTTTGCTCCTGATGTGGATTTTTAAAGCCCTGCTGACTTTCATATTGTATCTGACCGTTTCAGAGAGCAAACAGAAGCTTGTGTTTGCTTAGCTTTCTGTTTGCATTGAAATGAGATTATGTAGCAGAAGCCTTCTCTCCTGCAAGTTGCCTCTTCCTTCTGCCTGCTTTTTCTGTCCCAGTGGGCTGACTGGGAAAGTTGATATTTTAAATTGCTATCTGCAGTAATTTGCAGCGGCACCAGAATGCCAGAGTAACGGGGCCGGCCTGAGACAGGCTGTCTGCCTCTGCTGTCCCACAGCCCCTCTCCTACTGGCACTCACAGCTCTGATCCTCCTCTGCTGCCTGGGCTGCTTTGACCTCCCCACCCAGAACCCTGCCATGTCCACATGCAGCAGGAACACGGGTGCCTTGACTCTGGAAGCCGACGACCTAGGTGGTGAAGTGCCTGTTGCCTTTCACAGACCCTGGCCTGAGACTCATCACCGCTGATTGCTTCCCGACCTTCCCATCCTGGTGCACTCGCCTGTCCCTGGCCCTCTGCTGGCGGTGATGGGGGGCCCCTCCCTGTGTAATATCCCACCCGCTTTGTAGTACCCTGGCGCCACCTCCTGCAGGCCCCTGGCCTTGCCCTCTTGGAATGCAGCCCACTTCCCCCATTAAGACTCCTGGTCCCCTTTCCATGTCACCGTGACATTGCTTGGTGTCTGCCTTGCATCCCTCTAACAGCATCAGCTCCTGGGGGACAGGAAGGGGCCTGCAGGACACGGCGTGTGCCGGGCGAGTGTTGCCTAAGCTTGCATGGCGTGGCCTGCAGTTCTCGAGCGTCTGCCTCCTTTCCCACGCAGAATGAGAGAAGACAGTGCCAGAGTCTACGAGAACGTGGGCTTGATGCAGCAGCAGAAGAGCTTCAGATGAGGAGGGCCGCCGGGACTTGAGCACAGCGAAAGGTATTCAGGCCACTGCTCCCTCGGCGGCTTGTTTATATAATTTGCTTCATTTGGAAGCAGGCGAGTCATTTGTGACTGTCCCTGTACAACGTGTCATAATTGAGTTTCGCAACTTTCTCCTCGCCCTGTACTTCCTTCTCCAAGTAGATTTAGTTTACAGTTCATTAAGCATTAAAACCAGACACAGAATTGATTGTGCAGGGCTGTGAGGTGGCGCTCGGCCCAGGGGAACGGCTGAGCGTGGTGGCACAGAGCAGGCACCCTGTTCTTGCCGTTGTCATTAGCGCTGCTTTACCAGGCTGTGCTGGGACAATCTGTGGGCATCCAGGACGCGGAGACACCGCCGGATGGCGGAGGGCAGGATACCCGAGCTCTCTTCCCAAGTAGCTTGAGCGGCTGTGAGACCTGGGCGCTGCGCCTCCCTGGCCTCTGTGAGTCAGCACCACATCCTTGCCAGCTCTGCGGCTGGGAAGTGATCCAGCACCTTTAGCAAATGTCTGCCTGGTCACCTTTTTAGATCAGGATGCAGGTACGCAATGCAAGGGAGAAATTCACCCAGTACTGAAAGACCTTAAATCAGCTGGGTGTGGTCGCGTGTATTTGTCATCCTAGCACTCCAGGAGGCTGAAGCAGGAAGACTTGAAGTGCGAGCCCAGCCTCAGGGATTTAGTGAGACCTTATCCCAAAAGAGAAGCCATGGGGGCGAAGGGGTAGCCTGGTGGGAAGACCCTGGGTTCAGCCCCAGATACCCCTCCCCCAAAAGCTTTCAGTGTCCTTTAAGATGTCCAGGGCCATGGGAGGGCGGAGTGGAGGGGTGCTTGCCCGGTGTGTGCCAAGCCCTGGGTTCCGTTGTCAGCACCGCAGACATTGAAGTTAATACGCAGCCTCTTAGATATGTGCTCCTTAGAATTCTGACTCCTTCCCCCAGATGTGGACTTTCATCCTCCCCCTCGATGAGGAACCAACGAGCAGGAGAGCTTTCTCGAAGGCTGAATTTGGGGCCCAAGGCTTGTGCCTTGGCTCACCACCTTCTGACAAGCAGAATTCGAAACCACTGTGTTCTGATCCAGCCTTTCCTCAACTAAGAAGAACTCATCTCTACAATGTAGACAGTGCTGCATTTTATAGAATTTTATTTTACATTGAGGAAGCAGTTAAACTGTGCTCTGTATTTTGCCGATCATGGGGATACAAATTCTAGTTATGAGAAATTTCTTTTTCCTTTTAATAACCTTAACCATTTTGTTTTTTTGTTTTGTTTTTGTGGGGGATGAAGGGGCACTTGTAAAAAGAAACGATTTGGGAAAATTAAGCAGCAACATCCTTGAGAAGTGAGAATGATTTCACTCGCTGTCGCTTATTGTCGTAATGTGTTTTGTGTTGCCTGGCAGAATCCTGTAGAGTGATGAACAGATTGATTTCTTACAGCTCTGGAGTCCGGGCAGTCCAAGGTCCAGGGGCCACATCTCTTGAGGGACCCTAGCTGCATTGTAACTAGGCCAAAAGCATCACAGCGAGACCAGAGGGAGAGGAGCGCAAGCAGGGAGGGAGGCAGAGCTTTGTAACCCAGCCCGGTGACGACAGGCCACCCCCAGCACTGTGGCACCAGGTCACACCTCGCATGCACAGACTTCAGGGGCCATCTGACCACCACGGCACTTGGCAGGCGGTAATTCACTTTCGTGGCTTCTTTCTTCCCTCCTCCTCTCCCCCGAGGTCAGGCCAGTGTCGGAGACTCAGAAGTTGATCACAGAGGTGGGCGAAGCAGGGTAACAGGTGTTTTCTTAGCAGGTGACCAGCAGCTGCTCAGCCATTGTGAGGGGGTGGTGACGAGGAGAGGGGCACCCTGTTTCCTCTGCCTTTAGTGACAATCTGGTGTTCAGAGAGCAGGCTGGGCTCAGTGACGCTGTCCTCTGTCTCGGCCACTCATGTGACCAGCAGGTCGGCTGAGACGTGAGGTGGCCGCAGTCCTCAGGGTCCCTCCTCCCTGTGGTCTCTGTGCCACCTGCCAGGTGCGAGGGAAGCCTTGCACGTGGCACGTGTGGCCAGGCCCTCTTCAGACATAAGGCAGACCTGCTGCAGCCCCTGCTGTGGCTCCCTGGTGACAGGCTTGTGAAGAAGGGGTGTGGTGGAGGCCAAGTGCGTGGGGTCCGGCCTGACACACGTGCGCAGCCAGTGAGTGCGAGCCGAGGCTGCTGTGACCGCGAGAAGCCGAAGCCGTTTGCAGTAGCTGGTGGAAGCCGCGAGTCAGGTGACAGAGGGACCGAGGGCCTTCCAGAAGCTTCTGAGCCAGCTCGGACAGGCCTGCACCTACTTTCTGAGCTGTCACTTGGGCAACTGGGAAGGATGGATGTGTAAGGGGGGCCAGAGCCTTTGAGAGGAGATCGCCCACCTTCACGGCATCTGTGGTCCTCGGCTGGGGTGACGCTTTCTTAACGTCCCTGGTGGTTGGCAGGCAGCGCTGGAGGAGCGGTTAGAACCAGGCCTCTTGTCAGGGTGAGTGGGCCCGTTTTAATTTGAACCAGTGGGGTTTGCGAATGTCTGCCTTAAGTGCCTTCTCCGAAGACTTCCCTCTCTGCCCGGCGTAGACTCAGTGTTCAGTGAACGATTTCAGCGAAAACCGCGGGGCTGGCTTTGTAGTGAGAGTAGTGTGCATGTGTCCCCCTTAGATTCTTCTCACCTTGGCCTCTGCCCGAAGGACTGGGGCCACCTTCCACTCTGGAAAGCCTGAGGGAACTGGGGGTGCAGTGGCTGCCATTGTCAAGGACAAAATGTGTGTCGACTCCTCCCCCACCCGGAAGGGTGGCCTCCGGTGCCTCCTTGTTGGGGAGGCAGTGGTCCTGTCTTCTTGTCAGCCTGCAGGGGAGGAGACTCCAGGTCAGTGTGTGCAGTCAGGATTCGGCATCCTGCTCTTTGTGCTGTGTGTTCACATTGAATAATGTAGGGGTTTGTGGTAATGCTTTGACTGGACTTCGGGGGTAAAGCCTTTCACCAGCATACAGGGGTTTGACTGGACAAACAGACGTGCACCCGTGTCTCTGCCTGGAGCCAGGGAGCGGTTGTGTTTGCTCTTGGAGTGGAAACGCCCTCACTTGGCCAGCTTTGTCACAGCACATTGGTGCACCCCAGAGTCAGCAGAGCGTCCTGCTCTTCGTAACTGATGCCAAGACCACACTCACCAGCGTCCAGGTTGCTAGGCCTGCTTTGGGTTTGGAAAGGTGGCAGCAGGTTTTGGGTGTGGTTGCTCTGTGTGTGGAAGAATCGGGCAGTGGGACCGGGAGGATATGGTAGCTGGAGGTGCGGGGTCGAAGAAAGAGGGAAGTGGAAGTTCTAAAGAAGGGGTTCGTGAGGATGTCGGAGGGCCTGGGGCCAGAGCAGGCAGCAGGAGGTGAGTCAGGGCACCTGGAAAACAGGTGTGCGTGGTCCCATGTGGAATTCCTCTGGGTTCTTAAATGTGCACACTATCCCGTAGCTGGCTGGCTATTTTCCAATTAAAAGCATCGGATTTTATATTTGGGGGTGAAGAAATTATCTGGCACATGGTAGTGGGGTTTTTTTTGGGTCAGGTGTCAGGAGCCTTACTAGTTTTTTTGCTTTTAAAAGCCTGCTCGTGTCCAGTGTGTGGCTTTCACTGAAATTCATGACTTTTCCAACATGGCAGAATGGGGTGGGTGGCTCTGGTGGGACCTTCCTTGGTTTCCCTGCGTTCTTTACAGAGCCTGGTTGCTTTATAATAGCCAAGCATAGGGTTGGGGTGCTTCTTAGTGATTGATTTAGTGGGATTTTAAGAGCTGATACAACCTCGGGTGGTTTCTAGGTCAGGATGCGATGTGTAGTGACGCGTGTAGATCAGCCGTCCGCAAGGGCCCCTCAGGCCCCCTGCAGGCCCTGGTTCTGCGTGCTGGCGGGGAAGAGAGCTTGGCGTAGCACGCACGTGAGCCTCCCAGTTTCAAGATGCGTTTCTGAGGGTCTGTGTTAGCCCTTAATTCTGCTGAAATCTTTTTCCTTCTCCCTCTTGAAAAACGAGTTCCCAAATACAGTTATTATACCTTTCCTCACTAAGTCTGTTCCTTGATCACTATGGGCAGTTCACACAAGGCAGAACTATCAAATGGTTGGTTTTAGTGTGTTGTATAACTTTGCTGTATATCAAACTAATTTTTACAAGTTTTCATCCTAAACCTCAAATCATGTAATTAATAATTTGCCTGTTTATTTATGACCTAATTGTGATTCTTTCATTAATAAAAGCTAATGGAAAAGGGCCCTTTATTAAGCTGATGACTAGACCTACATTTAATTTTCCTGCAGTGTATGAAGAAGTGTTGTACCAGAGTATTAAAAGATATGTAATATTTTATTGATAAATCTATCCTTTAAAAGGAATACATTTTAGGATGTCATCATTTTGATGTGAATCATGTAAATGTTGATAATATGCTGTTTATTATACATGTAGTGTTTCAAGAGATTCACTTAATTGCCTTTTGCCCACATATATTATGTAGTTCCTTTGCAGTTGTTTTTTAGAAAGTGACGTTAAAGATTAGTTTATGTAGAGAAACATTAGTGGATGTTATTTGCCTCCCTACCTGTATTTATGGGTGTTAGTTCAACTCCTTTGCTAGTTGCAAAGCTGTATTATCAGAGTAAAAGTGTATTTGTAAACTGTATGGAACTAAAAATTAGGAATAAAACCATTTTCTTACATTACAGTGTTTGTCGTTTATTTCATAAAAATGATCGAAGAGCCAGACATAGTGGTGCACACCGTGATCCCAGCACTTGCAAGCTGGGCAGAGGGTCACCGCAGGTTGAGGCCAGTCTGGGTTACAAAGTAAATTCTAGGCCAGCCTGACTACATAACAAGACTGTCTCAAAACCAAACAAAAACAAATGCCCAGAAAAATGTGTGATCAGTTGGGTTATCACACTGGCAGAATGCTGGATTGAGCAGCTGTTAGCTTGAAGGTACCTGGAATACAGAACAGTCAGATCGGTTCCCTGACACTTTACCTATCACCTGGTGGCTGGCAAAACATGGGGCTTCTCCAAAACAGGCACCGTGCCTGTGCCACACCCCAGGGATGGGCAGACCGGTACTCTGACCTGGTGGCTGGCTGCCACAGGCTGGCACAATCAGATTGTCCCTGTGGTAGCTCAACCTGAAGGGCCAAGACAGAGATGAGGCAGCTGATTCCAGTGGGCAGGTGGGCACATGGCAGGGGACACAGTTTTCCGCAGAAGGAGGTCTCTCATGGGTAGTCACATCAGCCACTAGGGGTTCCCAAAAGAGGCTGTACACAGACACAGCCTGGTCCATGTCATCCCTCCTGAGCTCCAAGGCTGTGCAGAGGGTTGCGATGGTCCCCTGGTCTTAGACCTACCATGGTCCCTGTCACAGCAAAGAACCCTAGAAAATGCATAGATGGAGAGCAGTGTGGGGATGCCCTCCAGGGCAGTGTAGACGGCCGAGGGCTCGGGCAGCTTGGCCACTCAGTGAAAAGGCTTCTGACCAAGCAGCTGCTTGGGGGGGTCCCGTCCTGTGTGTGCTTTGCATCCCTGTTCTCTCCCGTCTAGAGGCAGGAAGGGGGCGACCTCCAGGCATAGCTATATTGCAGTGCTGTTTTTCACCCCCTAATAACTGGGAAAGTTGCTGAACGCTGAACATGCTAAATAACGCTGCTCTGGACAGGAAGTTGCTGTCGGTGGTGGCAGTGTAGTTACCAGTGAGCTTATATTCGTGTCACTTGAGGTCAGTCTCCATAAATCCCCAAATACAGCCAATGTAGGGTATAAAATGCAGCTTCTGGGGAGCTCTGGTGGTGACGGAGACAGGGTTAACAGGGAGGGGTGCAGTTCAGTGGGAGGAATAACTGACTGCTCCGAATCATCGCAGGGTGGGTTTGTCAGCTTTCTGTCCCTGGGGTGAAACTCCTGACACCCACAGGAGAGTGTGGGTCCCATTGGCTCAGGGACTCCAAGAGGTTTAGGTCCAGAGTCACCCGGCTCCAGAGAGGGAACAACGCAGAGGTGCTCACCTCACGGTGGCTGGGAAACTGCAGAACGCCAGTGCTGGAGGAGAAGGGGCCAGGGACCAGATACAGTCCCCAAGATGAGGCTTCCATGACCTCCCAGACACTCCCAGGAGATCTTCACCCATCTGCTAGGCTTCCCTTAGTCCAGCCAAGTCGACAGCCAACACAGGACAACCACAGCTAACTACAAGTAATTGCATATTTTACAACAGCGAAAAGAGGATGTTGACAGTTCCTCACACACAGAAAAGATCAGTGATTAAAGTGGTGAAGATGCCAGTTCCCCTGATGGAACCATTATGTGTCCCATGCATCTACTGCAGTGTCATACCACACCCCATAAATAGGTGAGACTATGCGTCCACTTAATGTAAAAAGTGAAAAAATAGCTACCAAAATAAGGATTATAAGCAAGCAACACCGTACCGCAAGGCCTGTGTGTGGTTTGTGGACAACGTGATCGTACGTGATGCTGAGACTTGACATCAGCAATAGCTGAAAGAGTGTGGTATACTGAGCTGAAAATCACTTTCGGGTCCTAACCCTCTCCCACTTCTGGATACGCTGCAACAGTGTGGTGCGTACATATTTGAGTGTTTTCATTCTAAATCTGAGTAATCTTGAGTAATCTTGGCTAGTTTTGCTAGAATTCCCTAGTGTAATTCATGGCTTCGAATGAGTCATTTGATTCTGAATGCGATCATTACTGAGATCAATTCTCTCTGTCTTTTTTTGGTACCGGGGATTGAACTCATGACCTTGCACTTGCCAGGCGGGTGCTTGTGCCACTGAGCTAAATCCCTGGCCCAATTCTCTTCTTAGTTTTTGGCACTAGAGATGCAACTGAGGGCCTGGGCGGGCTCAGCAGATGCGCTCCCATTGGGCTGTATGTCCAGCCCAAGATCACTGTTTTGCAAGAAAAAAACAAGTTCACTGGAACCAAGTGTGGTGGTAGACATCCATAAGCCCACCCTGAGGCTGAGGCAGAAAGATTGTTGCAAGTCTGAGGTCAGCCTGGGCTACGTAGTGAGTTCAAGTCCAACTTGAACTAAATAGTAGGATTCTGTCTTTAAATAAATTTTTTAAAAGTTTTTTATTATAATTGTTTTTTATACAAATTCACAGTTTGTTTAATTTGAATTTATTCACATTAAAAAAGTTAAATAGCCATTAGGTTTTCATCTAATAAATTTCCTTTAAGAAAGATAACATTATATCTGATACTTAATGCTACAGTATATGAAGGTGTACTCAAGGACTTCAGGGAGGGAGTCAATATGGTAACTATTTTCGGGTCAGGATTATCTGGTGGTGAAACACTATTCTGCTTAAATGGTTATGTTTTGATCTGCCCTGTTTCGCTGTTATGCCCTCTTTTTTTCTCAATCTCCACTCCATTATTTACTTTTTTATTTTTATCCATTTAATTAAAGGGAAAAATATAGCAGGATATAATATAGTAACCCACTTTGACTCTCTATTATCTCGATTTGAAGCCCTGTATTACTCTCACCATCTTGTTTTTGACTGAGGTTCCTCTATTCTGTTTTGCTGGATAGTATCAGGTTCGAAAGTTTAGGCATCAGCTGAGAAGATAATGAGATTCATTATGAGGCCCATTCTCGTTGACTTTTATCTACTTTTGAAGACCTACAATATCTCCAATGTTTTGGTTTTGTCGGTTTTATTCTTTACGGTTTTGTTCAATTGTATTACAACTAATGATATAGGCAATTCTATTAGAAATAGCGGGAGGCATTATGGTAACCATTGTTAATCAGCTTGTATTATGTTTTTATATTATCTATTATGTCCACCCTTTTGACTTGACCGATTCTGTTCTGTTATGTCACATTTGGTTTTACTCTCTTCCAAAAAAGCAATACGAACCGTGGGAGCAATGAAACCCAAAATGTGTAATAGTCACTGTACAAAAGAGAGGAAAAGAAAGTGCTCTAAACTATATAACTGCATGTATATTTAAATGTATAAGATAGAAAATGATATCACAGAGTTTTATTGGATCATTGAACAGAACTGTTTGCAGTATCATTGTTGGAATGTCCACTCTACAAGCTTTAATTTTGTGACTGGAACAATTATTTCTAAGATGGCAATATGTAATCCAAAAAAAAAAAAAAAAAACATTATATCTGATTGGAACTATCCTAGGAAAATCCGGTGGTCTGTGCCCCTGGGTTTAGCATCTTTGCTGATTACATATCCCACGTGGTGATATGTGAGTTTGATCTGATTCAGACTTGTGTACCCATCTTTCTTTTTAAATGTTTCTATGGTAGTAAAATATACAGGATACAATTTGCTGTCTTGCCGGTCTGTGACTACAGCTCAGTGGCACTAATACACTCACACTGGTGACTCACCCCTCCCTTTCATCTTGGGAACCTTCGCCCTTATGACTTACCCCACTCCCAAGCCTGGTGCTGGGCATGGAACCCAGGGTCACACCTGCCCGGTAAGTACTCTACCACTGAGCCATACACCCAACTCCATTTTTATTTTTGAAGCCCCACTCTCTTTTTTTTTTTTTTTTTGTCTTTTTCCTTTTTATCGGTACCAGGGATCGAACTCACGACTGCCTGCTTGCAAGGCAGGCGCTTATGCCGCTGAGCTAAATCCCCAGCCTCTGAAGCCCCACTCTCACCCCTTAATACTTTGTGTGTGTGTGTGTGTTTTGAGTCAGGGTCTCTCTATGAAGTTCAGGCTGGCCTTGAGCGCATTTTGTAGCCCAGGCTCATCTTGAACTCACAAAGATCCTTCTGCCTCAGCCTCCTCTTAAAGCACCTCTGACTATTAACCTTTTTATGTATTTTTGAATAGGTAATATATTCATTTAAATACAATGTAAAAATTTGAAAAGAGCACATAATAGAAATCTCTCTTCCACCCCTGACTGTTTCCTATGATACTCAGGTGTCCTGAGCAGCTTTGAACTTATGTCCCAAGAATAAAGACTCTGGGTGCTTGAGTTTTACAAGTGTCGCTTGGATAAATTACACCAAATTGCCACCCAGTCAGGCTAAACCTGGTTCTGTCTCCACCAGCATGTTCATGCCTGGACCGCCATCCTGTATCATCACACTTGCTTTCTTGTCCGCCTGATGGGTGAGAGAAGCCAGTTCTGCGTCATCTTTTCACGTGCCTGTGAACTCTGAACTTCTCTTGACATTTCACCATTGAGGGCTGGGTCTTGTCTTTACCTTTAGGGATGAAGGTAGCGAATTCTTTACAACTGCGTGACAGCAGTGCCTGTATCCTGCCACCGAGAGCAGTTTCCCTAGAGCCTCCTCCTTCCCTTCCGTGTGAGGGTGGCAGGTTCCCCCGGGCCTGCTCTGTCGTTTTCCACCTTGCTGCGGTTACAACTGCACAGTTCCCCCTGGAGGTGGGGAGCACAGCCCTTGGGAACTGCAGCCTCCGCACGGATGCCCGAACCCCCTGCCAGCCCGCGTCTTAATTATCCCCCTGCCTGCTGAATGGGCAGTTTCTTCAGACTGGCTTCTAGACCCCGAGGTACCAGCTGTGTCCATCGGTCAATCACTCCTTAATGAGGACAGTGGGTCAGGCAGGGCTGGGTGCTCGAGATAAGTATCTATCTCAGCACCTGTCTTAAGGACTTTATGGCCCATTTAGAGTGAGCAGACACAGGCTGCAGGC